GGGGGGGGGGGCACCGTCTCCTCCGATGGGGAGGTCGGCGCTGCAACCCGCTGGGGAGGGGCCAGGCAGAGCAAACCCCAGGACAAGAGACTGCACGGAGAAGCTGGAAACATTCATTTCATAGCAATTAATTGGGAACATCAAGGACCCGCCACCATCCCGCGTGCCGTGCTGGCTGCCCCTGGGCCGCGAGGGTCCGTCTGCACAGCCCCCCCCGGAAGCCCGCAAAGGCCCCAGCGCGCAGCCAGGCTCGGCTCCCACCCGCGCGTGCAAGGTTCCTACGGAGACCGGCTCGACACCCCCGTGCCCCTGCCCTCGAGTCTGCGGCTGGCTATGGGGAAAGACGGCCCCCACCCCAGCCAGGCATCCGGGCCCGGATGGGTGCCTGGGGCGTCGCTCCGCGAGGCTGAGACGGGGGCAGATCCGAGCAGTCCCGGCATGCCGAGGCGGGATCTCTCGGCCCTGGGAGCCGGTCACGACGGCGCGGGGCTGGCCTGCTGGGCGATCAGCGAGATCCACTCCTGCCGCTCGCTCCTAGGATGGGGCAGAGAGAAAAGAGGCATCTCGGGTGAGAACCGAGCCCTCCCCTCCCCACACCACCAGCTCGGCGAGCTCCAAGGGGGTTATCAGCCCCTGCCCCACTAGTCTTTGGAAATCGAGGCATCGCTCCCAGCCGCGCTGCGTGGAGGGCGAGCTTTCGGCTTCATCGACCCTAGTCGGGGCTGGCCCCACACTCACGCGCTGGCGGCCCGGAGGAGGTACTCGGTGCTGGCCCCGCGGTGGTTGTGGGAGAGGTGGAGGCGGAAGGTGAAGTCGGCCTCGAGGAGCTCCGCATCGACGTGGTTGGCGCTGGCGTAGTCCTGGACGGAAAACCGGCCATCCCTACAAGGGAAGAAGGGGGGCACTGGAGGGCATGGGAGCACCCACGTGCCCCCTGGTACGTAGGGCGAGAGGGTCCCGATGGCCCCGCGGGAGACGGGCGCGCAGCCAGACTCACTCCCTCCGCCGGGACAGCAGCAGCAGGTCACTGAAGAGGTGCAGGTGGATGGGCTTCTTGCTCAGGCGGAGGCGAGACCCCGCGCCGCCGTCCTGCGGGAGGATGTGGGTCAGCTCCCCGGCCCGAACTAGCCAGCGTCCCCGGCTGATGAGTGGGATGGCCTGGACACAGAGACGGTGCAACATACAGCGCCTGGCGCGGGACGACCACCCCACACCGCTCCAGGGCCAAGGTCAGGCCCCGAGCAGGCCTGATGTTTGCAGCAAACACATCGTGCCATCTCAGCGCGCCTGTCAAGGCATGGCATGGCACGACCCTGCAGCACCCACTGGGCTTCCCTCTCCCCCGGCCTGTGTCTCGGCCATCCCTGCCCGGGGCCCTCACCTTGGTCTTCAGGAACTCCACCTGCTTCTCCAGCAGCACCAGCTCCTCCGTCTGCTTCATGCGCCGCACGCTCTCGTTGCACTCGGACACGATCTGGAGAGGCCAGGAGAGCTGCGGGTCCCTGCCAGGCCCCACTCCCCAGCCTCCCCTCCCCAGCGGGCATCCAGGACACGGGGCTCCCCGCAGCAGAGACCTCCCGTCTGTCCCTGCCTGCAGCAGCTGCCAGCCTAGCTCAAGAAGGGGCGATGCCAAGGACCTGATCTCAGGCACCCGCCGGGCGTCACACTGCATTGGGCATCGCGCTGTCACCTGCGCCCACAGACCGTCCTGGGGGCACTCTGGGCTCATTCAGGGAGCATCTCTGGCCCCTGCTCCTTTGGAGGTGTAATTAGCTCAGCTCAGCCCTGCCCATCACCTGCCTCAGAGCAGAATTGGGCTCGCGGGGCGCACCCTTACCTCTCCCACGGCCTTCAGGGCAGCGCCGATGGACTCCCCCAGCTCGGAGCCTGCGGGGGCCAGCTTCAGGATGTTCTGCGGGGCAGGGGAGATGGTCAGGGGGACGGGCTGGGCGGGGGGGGGCACCCGTCTCCAGAGAGGGATGCTAGAGGCCCCCTCACGCAGCCCCGCGCACCTCCAGCAGCATCTTGAGGCGGGTGATCCTCTGGAAGGGCAGCACCAGGAAGGACTTGAGGGGCTGCCGGCGGCACACCGCCTGCCCCTCCAGCCTCCGCAGGACTTGCAGGAACCGCCCGTTCTCCTGCCTGCTGTGCAGAAGTGGAAGGGGGCAAGGGACCCCGGTGACTCCCGGGCCGCAGCAACTCCCCCCCCCATGCCACCTCCACCTCCTCCGAGGAAGCAGACGATACCCGCAACACTCCCTTCCCAAAACACACACACCGGCAGGCAGGATCGGAGCTACGCCATGCACTAAAGCAGGGCGTTGACTCTGGACCCTACCGACGGCCGTGTTTGCAGGCCCCCGGCTGCAAAGCTGAGCGGCGCCCCCCGCCCGCTGTCTCACATCAGCTTCTGCACGAGCTGCTCCTGGTACATCTGGTTGGTGACGTAGGGGATGTAGACCCTGCGGAAAGCCGGGCAGTGCCTCAAAACCACGGCCCCCAGCCCCGCCAGGAAGATGTCCTTGTCCAGCTCCTCCTCCAGCTCCAGGAGAAACCTGCGGAGACAAGGCAAAGCGTCCTGCCGCCAGGAGCCTGGCTCCGCTCCCACCACCCAGGGTCTGCAACGGGCGGGATCATGCTCCTACCCATCCCTGCAAGGGTCCAGGACCCCGGCAGCCACCCCGTGCCCAGGCCCCCGTTACCTGTCGCTGACGCCCTTCACCTGGGGCAGGTTGGAGAAGAGTTGGTGCAGCTCCGTCGCGGCCAGCGCGGCTTGCAGGGGCCGCGAGCTCCGGAAGTGGCTCACGGCCACCCCGAGGCTGCGCAGGTAGGTGGCCTCCGACGTGATCACCTCGAACAGCGCCTGCGGCAGGGACCGCGTGCCATGCTCAGCACCCCGGCTACCTCTTGCAAGCATGGGGGGCCCAGGCCCTGCATCCACCCCCCCACCGCCCCTCTCCCCACAGGGCTTAGCTGTGCCACCCGCTCCCTGCCTGGGGCACGATCCCCTTCTGGGTGGGGGTGGAAAAAAAAGACACCAGACACTCGACGGCCCGGCTACCTCCTGCAAACGGTGCTGCTGGGGCGTGATGCTCTCCAGCAGCCGCCGGCTCTTGACCTCGGGGAGGTCCCGCCAGGAGACGCCGTAGTCACGGGGGGCTGCGTGGAAAGCAGCGCTGAGCAGAGACGAGGACAGGAGGCCGGCGAGGGTCAGGCTGGCATCCACCCGGAAAGACCAGTCCTTGGGCTTCGGCCCCATGGCCTGGAGCTGCTTCACCCAGTAGTCCTGGGAGAGGAGCGCTGGGTGGAGGGGGGAGAGGCCTCAGCACGGACGTAGCCGCAGGAGCCAGTGTGCACGGACACGGTGCTTGGATCCTAGCTGGTATCCAGCGATCCCCAGACGGGACCAGCTTGTCGGCACTTGTCTGGGGGGCTCCCCCCACCCGCCAGGCCGGGCCGGGCAGCGGTCAGCACTCACGCGTCTCCACACCCTTGGGGTCCACCCTCCATTTCTCCTTCTTCTCTTTCCTGCGGGTCTGCTGCAGGGACCTGAAAGCAACAGGAGCTGCCTTTTAGGCCCCAGGGAGAGCCCCAGACCCCCCCACCTGACCCCCACCAGGGCACCTCCTGCTGGGGGGGGGCTGGCACCGGAGGCACTGGGCTCCACGAGGCCTGGGGAGGAAGGTCTTTGATCCAGGATGGGCGCAGGGGTGACTGGCACAGGCTGCAGCAGCGGGAAGTAAAAAGCCAGGGTGCAAGCCCGCCCTGGCGATTGGTGCCCCCAGGACAAGGGCCCGGGCATTGGGTGCACAGGATTTAGCCCCCACTTTGTGACCGCAGCCAGGCACAGCCACCGGGAGCCGAGGGGGAACAGGATCAGAGCAGGGAGCACCCCCCCATGTCCCACAGCCCCTGGGCACTGCAGGCTGGGGGAGCCCTTGTAAGGCAAGGGGGGGACCCCCACAGTACAGAGCAGGATGAGACCTTCTCCCCCGCTGCTGCTCAGCGCGCCCACGCAGCGGGAAGCCCGACTGCACTGGGCGAGTGGCTGCGGGGCGTCGAGTGGGCGCAGACCCCCTGGGGACGGGGCGGTGACCTGGGGGTCGCAGGGCAGGGGTGCATGAAGGGCCAGCTAAAGCGGCAGAGCAAGGTCCAGCCCATGCATTACCTAGCCATCGCCGCGGGGAGGTTGTCCAGGGAGCCGTGCAAGGCCTTGTGCCCGGGACCTGGCGCCTGCAGCCTGCTCCCCTCGCCGAGCTGGACCGTGGGCACCGAGGGCAGGCTGCCAGGGGCCTCGCTGTGCTCAGGCCAAACCTCTCCTAGGCAGAAGACCCAGGGGTGAGGTGCAGCCAGGCCCACGCTGCTCCGGACACCTCACCAGACCCATTCACCCCTTGCCCGCTTGCTCCCCATGGCACGGAGAAGCTCAGCACTGCCCAGGATGCAGCCACGTGCTCCAGGGCACCAGCACCGCGGCCCAGGGAGCTTCTGGGCACAGCCGGGCGGGAGACACCTCGGGCTGGGGGTTACAATCCAGGACCCCAGCAGGGAGGAGAGAGGCGGTGATGGAGACCCCCGGCACGGCTCCCAGCTGACCTTCAGAGCTGCCCCCCAGGAGCGGGACGCTCTCCTCGGCTCCCAGCTCCACGCCGGGTGCAGGGAGCCGGCGGGTGCTGGCGGGGGGCCTGGCCCGGAATAGCCCGGCCAGGAAGGAGCCCCGGTCCTGGCGTCCGTCCGCCCGGGTGCCCCGGTGGGTCAGCGGGCAGGACGCGTGTCTCTTCACGGGCAGCGTGGCCTTGGGCGGGGAGTCCGACCGCGTGCGCTTCCGGCAGAAGAAGTCCATGGGGGCGATGCGCGGCCTGGCAGGACGAGGGCGGCTGGTCAGGGCTTGCTCCCGGGGTCTCCGCAGCTCCCCGTCCTTGTCCAGCAGGTACCCGGGGCCTTCCAGCCCAGCGCTCCACCCTGCCCTGCCCCGGGTCTGGAGGCGTGCGCAGGCCCTGCACCCACCCCAGCCCCAGCTCATCGCCAGGGCAAAGCCTGGAGGCTCAGGACCTGCTGGCAAGGGGTCAGGTCCCCCCTCCCCACAGCCCTGGAGCACCTGCTTGCACAGCCCTCACAGCCCCCCCGACTCCCTCTGCAAAGGCCCAGGGCAGGAGCAGGATGGTACCTGGAGGGAGCCCCCAAGCCAGGGGAAGAAGAAGCTGCTTGTGCTCCCACCTGCAGCTAAATAACCTCCCTTGTTAGCAGCTCCTCTTAAAGGCCCCCAGCTGAGGGCATTTGCTCTGTGGGGTGGAGCAGGTGGCAGCTGTTCCTTTGCTGCAGGGGAGTAATGAGGGGTGGGGGGGCCTTTGCCCACCCTGGGGGCAAGCCAGGATTTGCCACTGCCGCAGCTAGCTGGGAAGCGGAGCAGGGATAGGCAGCTTGGAGGGGAGATGTCCAGCTCCTCCGACCAGATGTGGAGCTTGCATCTGCTCTGCACCAGTGCTGGCAGACAGCGCTTTCTGGATGAGGCCTCGAGCGCGGGCGCCTGCTAAGGGCGGTGGGGACCTAATCTGCCCCCACGCTCCCTGCCTCTTTGAGGCTGGGCTGGTGCTTGCAGCTCCGCTTCATGTCCTGGATGCCCCCCGGGGGGATGATCCTGCCCTGAGCAGGGCGCTGGCCTCATCTTGTCTGACTCTGCTATGATCCTACCTGCTTGTGGGCTCAGCAGCTGGGGGCAGGAAGGGGGTGGCTGGATGGATAGGCTCGGACCCTCCCCAGAGGGGCCAAAGAAGGAGCTGCCCTGCCTGGCCTGGGCTGTGCGCGAGCTCGGGGACTGGATGCAGACCCCCAGGCTGGAGCCCTAGGACCGACGCTCGGCCCCTCTGCCACGTGCCGTGCTGCTGTCCCTGTGCCCAGGGCAGGAGCCCAGGCAGGACGGAGGGCTGTCCGGCCTTAACTCCCATGCCCTCCTGGCCTGGCACAGCCGGATACCCGGCCTGAGTGGCCTTGCCTGGTGGCTGTGGCACGAGGCTCGGTGAGGGGCAGTTGTGCCCAGGCCACAAGATGAGTCCATGTTCGATGCTTCCCCACCAGCCCTGCCACGAGGCACCAGTGAGGCTGCCCTGGGCCCTAATCCCCCAGGAGGCTCTCGGAGAGCGGCTGTGCAGCCCCCGGATGGAGCCCCCGCCTGCATATCGGTGCCAGCAGCTGCCGTGGGATCCGGGCACGATGCAGCCGGTCCCACCCGGGAGCTGGCCGCTGCCTGGCCCCGCCACCCGGGGCTGCTCAGATCCAGGGTACGGCCCGAGGCAGGGGCGGATGAGGGGCAGCGGGGCAGAGCTGGTCCGGCACGGCGAGACGGGGCAGGACGGAGGGGCCGGGGGCTTCCAGGCAAGGGTGGAGGGTGGATGCCGCGGCACGGCTCGGCAAGACACATGTCCTTCTTCCCTGCCAGCAAATCTGAGGCATTTAATGGTGCCCATAATGACAGAGAGGTTCCTCAGGACCCTGCCTGGCACCTTGGCTGCAGCTCCCTGCCCCGCCGGGGCCGATGCTCCCCCACCCCTGCGCCAGGGAGCAATGCCCGTGCCCAGGGGTCTTGTCCTTGAGGTGGCTTTGCTGGGTCTCAGCCCAGCCCTCAGTAGGCACGGCAGGCCCCAGTGATCATCCTGGGGTTTTCTGAGGGAGTCGGGCCCTTCCCTGACACCCATCCTCCCTCCAGGGGATCCAGGCACCTAACTCCCTTGGGCTCCCTTGAAACTCTGCAGCCACACAGCCGCAGGGGCCTGAAGATGCCCCCTGCTAGGTGAGGGGAGCTCGGCTGCGCTCGGTCCCGGCCCCTCGCCCAGCAGCTGGGGCAGAGGTGAGATGCCCGCTGTGCCTCCCTGGACCCGGTCAGGATCTGGCCCCGAGGTGCCCACGTGTCCCTCTCCAGGAGAGCGGCTGGAGGAGAAGGAGGTCCGTGTGAGGAGAGGCCCCCAGGCCTCGTTCCCTGGGAGCCGCTGGAGACCCCCCCGGCACGGCCCCGGGCCTCTGTCCAGGGGAGGGGTCCTGCGCGTGCCCGGAGCCTGCCCCGGGGCTCAGGCCTGGCCCTGCTCCAGCTTGCGCGTGGCGTGCTTGAGGCGGTCGTTCTCGCGCAGGTTGCGCAGCCGGGCGCTGCGGCTGGTGATCTCCTCCACGTGGCCCTTGGGCACCCAGCCCCGCTCGCCGTCCGACAGGCGGATGCCCTCGATCCACCCTGCGCGACAGAGACGGCCCCGCGTTAGCCGGGCGGGGGGTCGGGGGACGCCGCCCAGGCCGGGCGCTGCGGGGAGCGGGGTGCGGAGCCCCTCACCGTCGCTGGTCCTGGTCTTGACGGCCAGGATGTCGGCCTTCTCCAGCGTCAGCTCGTCGTGCTCCTGGGCCTTGTAGCCCTTGACGCACTGCACCTGGGCGCTGTCTAGGAGCGGGACACGGGCGTGAGCGGCCAGCCGGGCAGGCAGGGCACGGCCTGGGCGCTCCGCTTGGAAAACTGGCACCTCCCAGGATCGGGCCCCCAGGGGTGCCCCCCGTAATGCTACCGGGGTGCAGACCGGCGCGACTGCAGTGACGGTCCGGGGACCATCCCAGCAGAGCGGCTGGGCCGCAATCGGGACGATGCTCCGGTGTCCGCGGCAGAGCCCGTCCCCCCGATGGCTGGGGAGTGGGGCAGCTCGCGGGCTGGGCAGGTACCTGCGGTCTCGGTGACGTGCTCCTTGTCCGTCTGGGGGCTGCAGGGCACCATCGCCGACATCCACCGCTGCTTCTCGCTCCTGCGAGACAGGCTGGTCAGCAGAGCCCCCCGCCCCGCAGCAGGCCACGGTGGGAGCTGGGAGAGAGTATCCCTGAAGGACCGAACCCTGAGCGCTGGAGATGTCTCCTGGATAGCCCCAGTCTGCTCCAGCACTGGACCGAGAGGTGGCCTGGACACCACCTCTGCTGCTCTCGGGGCCCATCGGGTACCCACCCTCAGCTGCCGGGG